TGTCAACTATCAACACCAAGCTGGATTCTGTCCAAAAGCAACTTGCCCACATGGAAAAAAGAGCCAAGACAGACAAAAGGATCGAGAGAGTTGAAACAAGAACTACAGACATTAAGCAAGAACTGGAAGAAGTTAAAAAAGAAACACCAACAAAAATCAACTACTTCTATTTCAACTGGAAAAATCTATGCATGTTTTAAGTTTTCAAGGAGTTCCTGAACAGCAGGGAGAAGATTTAAAAACAACATCAAGTGGAGCGATTGCGACAATTTCGGATTTAAAACAAGAGGATCTCCAGAACGATATGGACTTGGCATACCGCACATATCCTGACTTTATAAGAAAAAACAAACTACCGGGTGAAATCTACGTTAAAATTCTCTAAGAGAACAATGAGAGACAATGTTTTAAAAGCTACATCGGGAAAAACAATAAAAGTTAATGAGGAAGAAATTAAAATTTTAAAAGACATTCCATTTGAGATCCGGAAACTAAGACGTCAGTATAAGGACTTCATTCTTTTTTTTGCAAAATAAATCAATAACCTACAGATGGAGCTTCCCAGAAGGACCCGTGTTCAAATAATACGATAAGAAAATCAAAATTGACTCTGTCCAGAAGGCCAAAAACGTTTTGAAACGACAAGTGGGCCCAGATGAAGACGATGATTTAAATTTGGAGGAAGGAGAGGATCCCAGCGAGGAAGAAACGGATAATGCCTTGAGTGACTCCAGCAGTTCAACTTCAGAGTCTGAGAAAGGAGTAGCAGCACCCAAAGCATCAAAAGTGAAGAAGAAGAAACCCAACAAATAAACAATTTACTCTGGATTACAAATTTTTGACTTTACCAGACAGAAGTTTGATCTCACTGTTTCCATGCCTTTTTTAAAATATACCACGTTAATGCAGAAGTGATTTATGAATTTGTAACTCAACGTCAAATCTTGTCTTAAGTTAGAAATAGTATGTTCCCTTTACCCTTTAGAAGTAGGAATTACGAGTATAAAACCAACAAAATTTATTTTAAAAAAAGCAAAGAAATAAATGTTATAAATATCTGTTTCTACCCCTTTTGTTTTTATTTTTGGCAGTCTCATTTAGTGTTAATAAAAAGTAAATTTGCATATTTCTCAATAAAAACGTGTGTGTAATATTTGTTCATGTCTCGCAGCTCTCAAACATCTGATGTTTATTCTGTGTGGCTCTTACGTTAAGCAAGTTTTGCCACCCCTGGAGTAGATCATG